CCTACTTTTGTGTTTCCATTGTTCTTCCTTTAAAGTATAATAAATGTTCAAATAGAATATCAAAGCACGACGCCGTATTACAAAGTAACAAAATTGTAATTAGTTATTTTATGTCTGGGAAATTTAGGGTGAAAATTTTGACTAAACCTGTTATAAAAAAAAAGAAAACCTGTAAACATGTTTTTGTGGCCCTTGAATGTATATCTCAAAATCAATACCATTTTTGGAATAAAGAAATAATATTAAGCCCACTTTATTGTGAATTTTGATATAATATTAAGTTTTAACCTGTTTTGCGAACAGTTGATTTATTATTATTCTGATTAGTCCAAAAATAATATAAAATCATTCCAACTATTAATCTATAAAAATCGGTATATGCTTTTCGAGAAATATTTAATAAATCAACATTTTTCCTACATACAAACATTACTTTTACGTAAATATGGCAACAGTGTTTGTAGTTTGTAGTCCTCGATGTTCGGCCATTACGCACGTTTCGTGTATGCGAAAAACGTGATTTTGATCCAAATTGCAGATATTCCATCATAAAGCGTAAACACCCCATTTCTTGAATAAACATGTTTATTGGACGAGGGAAATGGCAAGATTAGCGAAATTGCTAAAGTTGCATAATTAAGGTAAATATTGAGCGGAATGGTTTAATTTGTATTGATTTACATTGGCTAAAGAAAAATATATAATTTACTTAGTTGAATTATAGAATAGAATTTTTATTCCAAATATGTTTTACCTAATTTTATTTAAGTATGTATATATGTTAAAAGAATTATTATCAAATTCTTAAAAATACTTCAAAATCGTAGTTTTTAGGAATTTTACAATTCGTGTAAACATCTAACTATAAATTAGAAGTATGAAGTTAGGTATTTTAAAAATATATATAAGTAGATGAGATTAGCCAGTTCTGGACCAAGGTCAGAGGTGCAGAGAGAGGTAATTGGGTAATTAGTAATTATCCTAAGTACCCACCCCCACCCTTCGCGCAATTAGCAATTACTATCATGTACTGTAATGAGTGTAATTGCATAGTGTAATTGTTAATTGCGCGAAGGGTGGGGGTGGGTACTTAGGATAATTACTAATTACCCAATTACCTCTGACCTTGGTCCAGAACTGGCTAATCTCATCTACTTATTTAAGTTAACAATTAAGTAAAATATTTTTTCGCATTTACGGTTCCGACAAAACGGGAAAAATTGTCTATTTTAATCCACTGGAAAAGTGAAAGTCAAATATACTTTTGGCCCTAATCCAAAGATAAAGGAATAAAATTATCTACTCCCGCGACTGTATTAGGTTATTTACGCTTTATGGAGACGATTTATTTGTTTAGTTCAAGACATTTCGCATTTCGGTCGTTAAAAAGGGACTTTCTTTCCTCTGAGCACTATATTTTTATGTTTTTCTTGCGAGTTAACACGAATTACACACAAGAGATTTAAAAATAAACTTCTAAAAGATTTGTTTTTAATCAATTATTTATTTTTATATGAGTAGAAACGTGTTTTAGTTATAAATAATAACATATTTTATCTAAAAACATTAAAAAAAATCTGATGTGTCCAACACATGATTTTTTGTGTGAAATATTTTAATTTTTCAATACATAGACTTCGTGAATATCTATTTAGGAGTGCCTGAAGAAGAAGAAGAAGTAACCTTCTTCGAAACAGGTCGCTAATTAAATTGACGTTGTAAGACATAAAAGACCTTTTTTAATACTTTCGGACAGTCATTTTTGTTTCCCAATTACGTCTATAAGTAAGAAATGTTTATAAAAAGGCTAAACTCAAACAAATAATGATTGAGAGTGAAAGCAGGTAGAAATACGACCAAATCGGAGGCGTGCTTATTATTTTTGAGAGGGTACAATTATTTAAAATATTCATACAATTTCTTTTATTTATTTCATGAAAACTTTGCAATATCGTAATTTACCTAATCGTTGTAGTCATTAGTAGGGCTTTATGAAAACGGAGTAATAATTGTGGTAATTATAGTAGGAACCAAATAAATTAAGAATATTAATAAAAATCACAATATATATTTCAAATTAAAAATAAGAAAGATACCTAATCAGGGGTTGGTTTGGTGACAGAAAAAATATTATCAATTTTACTATTTTAATAATGAATTTAACTTTATTTCACAAATTAACGTATATTTATATATTATGACGCGCCGAAGTCAGTAAGGAACTGTCTCTTAAGTTTCTTCTTGGGTTACACATACAGAAGTATTACTTAAATTTTAAATTAAAATCATAATGACGGATATTGCATATCCAATACAATTGATATTTTTATTTTGTTTTGTTTAGTTATTTTTAAATTTTTATATTTTCTAATCTTTTTATATTATATTTAGTTTTTAATTTACTTCGCTTTGTCTATAAAAGTTTTGTAATTTTTCAATGACAATAAAGCATACCTCTATATATATATATATATATATATATATATATATATATATATATATATATATATATATATATATATATATCTCGCCCGGTTTACCTGCAGTTTCTCGAAACTAGCCAGCCTTACCCAAGAAACCCTAATTGGGTTCGGCCAACATTAAAAGACATTATAAAGCTTAAATTACTATTTGATTGGTACTTAAATCATAAAAGTTTACACGCACCTATCATTTCGGAAATCCCTAAGTAAGATAATTAGTTTGGATATAACCTACAGTTATTTCAAATTTATGTAACAATGTACAAATTGATACAATAATAATAATTATTAAATAAATAAACATTTGTATCCTGCTGAGACATTGTTCATGTCTGTGTACAGGAATTAAAAATACAAATTTATATAATAATTTCTAAATGGTAATAGTGAATGGTAAAAATAAAAATTATATCTAAATATATAGACTTCTTTTTGTGTAGAAATTTTCTTCTAATCTTCAACCTCAGATTCGTCACTGCTGCTACCGCTATCATCAAAGTTAATTTTGATTGGTTCAATATTGTGTTCAATACGGTTGTCTACGTCCCACATTTTTTGCTCTTCTTTTAAAACATGCTGAATGCATTTCTTCCAGTCTTCTGCAGAAACGTTTTGAATGGCTTCTTGTAGGTAACGTTGCACGTCCACTAATTTAAATATTCTGTTTTCTCGTGTCACATATCCTTTTACTTGCGCCCAGATTAATTCTATTGGGTTTAATTCGCAGTGGTACGGTGGTAACCTTAATACTGTAATTCCACGACTTAACGCCATTTCATCCACTGCGAATTTTTTATATTTGTCTCTGTGTAATTTTGTTAACTGAAGTAGTTCTGCCTTTAAACTATCTTTTTTATATTGGATGTTTTTATTAATTAACCATTCTTGAATTGCTCGTTTTTTCCATGATTGTTTCGGTAATGATTCTAAATACCGACTATGATATGGGGCATTGTCCATGACGACGACAGACCCAGGTTCCACAAGTTGAATGATGCCTTCAAACCATTTTTCAAACACCTCCGCATTCATCTCTTCATGATAGTCGCCTGTTTTCTTGGATTTAAATATTAATTCACCATTTGGTAAAAATCCACTGTCGCTTCCTATATGCGTAACTATCAGACGACTACCTTTTCCAGACGGCTGTTTTAACCCAGTTGACAAGCCTTTAATAAAGGCTTGTCGTGCACTTGTTATATGACCATCCTGCCATACTTTTTTGACCGTATGTCCTTGGTTAACCCACGTCTCATCCATGTAGTAAATTTTTTTTTTTGATATTCCGAAATTCCTCAATTTTTCGGAGATAATTTCTTCTCCATACTATTATTTCCTGACGTTCAATGAGAATGCTTTTCCTGTCGACTTTTCCGTACGTAAATTTCATTTCGTGTAAAATTTTCCTCAAAGTTTCTTTACTCATTTGTGGGACCAATTCATGATCGCTAACTGCCTCCAGAACTTTTTGCAAAGTGGGCAGCTCATTTCTGAAAAAGAAACTGTGAATAGTTGTGCGTATACTGTTTTTGGCTTCTTCATCAACTGTGATTTTTTTTCTTCCGCTACTAGTTTTTGGCGTTTGTACTTCCCCATGAATTTTGTTTTCTCTTAGTATTTTGTAAACTGATGATTTTGGTACTCCCGTATAATCAGAGCACATATCAACTAATTTATCTTTTGTAATTGTGGAAGTTAATGATGTTGGAACGCCCGGTTGGTTATTCGGAGGTACATCCGTAGAATTACAGCACATATGCACTAAGTTATCTTTTGGTCGCTGATGATTTCTTTCAAGACAGTGAAATACTCGAAGTACAAATTGTTTTTCACTTAGCGACCGAGACTTCGACCGTTTTACCTTTTTCGACGTTGAAGGCCCTTCAATGTCTTCCATTTTTTGCATAGTTTTAGAACGGTGTAGAAATATTATTATTTAATGTTTACACACTTATTAGCACTAATATTTTCACCAATTGTTCTTACAACACGTCGATTACTTACTAACTTAACTGCAAAACTTACAATTCACACCCGATGTTACGCTGGTGGTTAGAAATACACTACTGAGAACGTCATCGACGAGATGGATTTTACGCGTAACAGACAAAGACACTAATATCGCTCCGTACACCGATGCCATTAGTTGTAACAAATACTGAACAATCCATAAAATAATTAATTTTAAATGATCAAGAAATGTATAAGTATTACTCATTACTGATTTTTGTTATAATTAATATCTTTTATTAGTACTATGATTGTATATTATCTATAATTTGCCACAACTTACAACTCTACTACTTACTCTATTTTGATTCTGCTAAAAACTAGTAAGGTAAAATTGAGATATGACAACACGGTTCACTCTCAATCATTATTTGTTTGAGTATAGACACTACAATTTATGTAGATAAAATTAAATTCTTTTATTTCATTAAATTTGTATTTCTCTGGCTGTTATTTTCTAATAAATACTAATTAGTAAACATTTATTTTTATTATATCTTTTTCCAGAAACCGCCGATTCAAAACCAGCGTCAGCCAAAACTATAACTCTACGCTCGAACGGATCAGCCACTGTAACGATCCCGGAGTACAATCAAGACGACACAAAATCTAACGCCGTCGCCAGCAAGAACGAAACCAACGCCGAGGACGATCCAGAGGAAGAAGAAAAGGCAGCCACTAAGATCCAAGCGGTGTTTCGAGGACACAAAACAAGAAAAAGCATGAAACAACCGGCGGGCAAAGTCGAGCCAACAACTCCGTCATCTCAGGAACCCACTAGGGAAGAGCTCGAGGCTGAATTTCGGTTGGACGATGCTGGTATGTATAAAACAAGAACTTATAACATGATTTTATGTTGATATCAAACATAAAAAGTACGTAAGATTGTCATTTTATTTATACAAAAAGTAAAATTTGACAAAATTTGTACATAACAATAAAATATAACGTTTTATTTTATATTAACATTTTTTTGCTATCTCCTACTAAGACAAATAAATAAATAAATTATTTTTGCTTATATCTATTTAGTGTCCAACAAATTATCAACAGTTTATTTTAATTATAATTTTCTCTAAATGTCATCGATTTAATTAAAAGTAAACATACAGTGGATGTCGATTTTGGTAAAAGTAAGTTGGCCGTGGCTGTGTGGATTAGAAGAACTGTCAATCTCTAAACTTTTAATTAGTACCTACCTTATAACAGAACACGACAAAAGTATACTTAAATTCAAGATTAGATTCTAAAGCCGATTTAGCATTTTTTTAAACTCAATCAAGTTTGAGAAGGTAAAAAGTTTTACTTTTTAATGTTTGTTTACTTAAATTCAAATTTTATTTGCAGTTTATTATATCTGTCATAATCGATATGGATTCAAATTTATCTAGCGATAGCGAATTTGATAATACTCCCCCAGATATCTTATGCAGTGCACAAAAGGCTACTGAAAATTTATTTCCAGAAAAATCTGCATATATTTATCAGCAAAAATACAATGCATTTATAGAATGGTGTAGGAAGAATAAGGTGACAAAATATTCGGAAAACGTTATTTTAGCATATTTCTCTGATTGAATTGAAGAATTGCAAAGCTTCTACCTTATGGTCGATTTATTCTATGCTTAAAAGCACCTTAAAATATAAAAACAACGTTGATATTTCGAAATTCAACAAGTTAATAGCGTTTCTCAAACAAAAAAATAAAGGTTATAAACCATAAAAATCCAAAATTTTTGAACGAGAAGATCTAATTAATTTTCTGTTGAAAGCTCCAGATTCCAAGTTTTTAATGATCAAAGTAAGTAAATGCCTCAGTAAATGCTTGAATGCTCAATATAAAATTAAAATATTCTGTAAAGTTTTGCAACGAGATGTGTGTTCGTATGGTGTGTTGCCTAACAAAATCAGCTGCTGTCCTAACAGGCCACCGGTGTTGTTAGGCAGCACATTATACCTAAAACTTTTATATTTTTTACAATAGCATTTATTTGGAGTTTTACATGCGCAACGTCAAGATATTTCCTAATGTTTAATAAATTATTTGTAACATTACAATATGTTATTTTTTAGGTAGCTTTTATAATTGGAATTGCGGGAGCTTGTCGACGGGAAGAATTATGTAAAATGACAATTAACGATGTGGAAGATAAACAAACAGTGTATATTGTCAAAGTATCAGAAACCAAAAATGGAATAGAACGCATTTTTACGATTTTAAATCCAAATAATTCTGCAGTTGATTATATATCTTTCATAAAAAAATATACCTCATTAAGACCATCAAATATAAATTGTAACAGATTTTTTTTAAAATTCGCAAATGGAAAATATTCTAAACAGCCTGTAGGGATAAATACTTTCGGTAAAATGCCAAGTGTTATAGCAATGTATCTAAACTTGCCCAATCCAACGGCTTTTACAGGACACTGCTTTAGGAGGTCTTCAGCCACTATGCTGGCAAATTCTGGAGGAGACCTTCTAACGGTCAAAAAACATGGAGGATGGAAATCATCTGCTGTTGCAGAAGGCTACGTAGACAGCACAATAACACAAAAAACAAAATTTCTAATAAAATTTTGATGGATGACAGTATGCCATCCACTTCCAAACAAAGCTACAATTTTACCGTTGACAACTCTAATGAAGAATTAGTGGAACCACTCGACAGTGAAACTAGAGTTACACAAAATATTTCAACCTCTTTACTTGAAAAGGCCAAATCCATACCACTCGAAGCTCAAAATAGGGTTACAGAAGTAATATCACAACATTTGTCAAACTCTGTGCTGGAAAAGGCCAAAACCTTAGGTTTTGGTAATTGCAATAATTGCACATTCAATATTAATATTCATAAGAGTTAAAAACCTATTTTTTTAAATATTTCTTCATTTGTTAGTCATTTTGTTCTGTAAGAATTATAAATTTGTAAAGTTCCAATAAATTTATTTTTGTTGCTGTGTACAATTTTTGGCACATTTTACTTTTTTTCACTAGTGCGTAAAGTACTTTTCTTCACTAGTGAAAAAAAGTAACTTTTATATTTCTAATATTAGTGGATTATGTATACGGTAGTAGAAAAAATATTGTATGCCACTCGTGTGTAAAGTCCTTTTTTTGACTCATGTGATTGTCGCACTCGTGCGACAACATTCACATTCGTCAAAAAAGGGTAACTTTACACACTTGTTGCATAAATAACTATTTTGTTCCGTAAATAATAAAAGAAACATTCCAGATTGCTCGTATAAGTAGTAAAAATAAATAATGCTAAAAAATAAACACAAAAAATAACTGTAAATACAATTATAGTTACATGTTGCTAAAATAGCTACATACACAATAAATAACTTCCTGTAAATAACTTTATCTTATCATACTTTTATACATTTTCCTAGAGATAAACAATAGGTGTGGATTAAATGTAAAATATATTTCATTCTTTAGCTTGACTTCTAAATTTTTTTAAAAAATAATTTTCTATAAAAAAAATTAAAACTTATAGACTAATGTTTACTGTAAGATGCCCACATTCGTAATGTAACAAAGTTATTAGGACAATTCTCTTATCGAATCAAATATTTAAAGAACATCTTAGACATAAAGCAACTGTGATGTATTGAGGTTGTTACCCACAATAACTAAAGGGTTAAAATAAATAAATAAAAGCGGGTACCACGTTAACAGAACACATTTATTTACTACCAAATTCCATATTGCAATGCGCATTTTGGCTTGCTACATACTCTATTGGAATTCCACGAAATCTACCAGTGGCGTATCTAGTAAACTTTATACATACACTATAACAACTAAATTGTCTGTAATATTCTTAAGTTTAATTGCAACTGAATTATGCTATATTTAGTTGGGGCAAAACAATGTACTGTCGATTAAATCTGAAAAAAAAAATTACTTTTCTATATATTAACTGAAATTGGTATATTGGATCTAAGTCAGCTCTTTATGCAACAAATAATAATTTACTTACATAAAAACAAAAATATTTTAAATACAAGTATTAGAAATTTAAAATTTAAAAGCGGGTAGATTCCATCACCACATCTTAACCAAATTTATATCCTGAGATACCCTCTCACTAACAAAAAAAGAATCATATAAATCAGACAAGATGGTAAAGATTTATCGCTAAACATACATAAAAAATGAAGAGTTTGAGGATTTTCTCATGGATCCAATTATTAGATTTTGACCAAATTTATATGGGACCACCCCTGAAGTACCCCCTTTCTAATAAAAAAAGAATCATTGAAATCGGACACCGTGTTAAAGAATTATCGCTGAACATACATAAAAAACATATTGCGACAAATTGAGAACCTCCTCCTTTTTTGAAGTCAATTAAAAATTAGTCACAGACACTCTAAAAGATATATAAAGAAAAGGAATTTACGGAAATTAGATTTGTAGAAAAAAATGTTAGATATGTTATGCTCAACTAAAATTCCAAATAATTTCTTGATTCAAGACTATATTATAATTTTATGGTGATCTAACGCCCAAACTGAGCAACTTAGTACTGAGATAAATTCATTTCAACAGTCTTATTTTGGTCAAAGGAATATGAGGTATGTTTTAATGAAGACGTTACTTATAATATACACTAAAAAAATGTGTGGTCGAACATATTTTTTTATACGAAAGATTTTCTTTTTTTTTTATTCTATTATGGAGTACATTTTCTCATTTCATGCAATTATATCTCTGCAGCCTCCTTCTAGCAGAATTATCAGCACGTGGCAACAATAATAGAGTCTTTGAACTTAGAAAGGCTTCATGAATATGTAATAACAAAACGTTACTGCAGATAATTCTCTTTATGCAAATTTTTTGTTAATAATCCTGTAATGATATTGTAAAGAAACATAAAAACGACTATATTTCCAGAGGGCTGGTATACAGGGTATTAAAAAACCTTCGAGCTGTTATCTTTAGAATTAGTAAAACGAAAAAAGATTAAAATTCATTAGGTACTAGATATAGAATATATGATTCCTTTCATTTATTGAACACATTTCTTTTATTATTGCTAAGAAAATTTTGACCTGTTGTCAGAGGCGTACGAAATCATATAGAATAAGTGAAGTTATCGGTGAAGAATGGAATGCCCTCCTACCTAAAACCAGCTTCTTTTATGATCTCCCTAAGGGTTAGGAATATAAAAAAAACATTATATAAAAACAGAAAATATTTAATAAGTAATAGTCCCTTCATTTTTTATATATTATTTCACTAGATTAAATTTGCTTATTTCGGATATTACATTTATAATTTATTAAAATATGCATTTCTTTACGGTTTAACGAAATATTTTCTTTATTATATTCACCTCATTGCCTGCTCTTTCTATGAATAAATTTGGTCTCTTCAAAGAGTCAAAAAAGACCCTGTTAATGGACAAACATAAAATATATTTCACCGGACGTCCCAGCTAAATTTCATCCCTATTCCGAACGGGCAGTGTAAAGTGAAAATCCTCCTGGCATTTGTTAAGCTCCGGTGAGCCTTTAGCCACACAAGACCGTAAACTTGGCCCTAAATAGCCTGCCCCAGACCGATTTAATTAATTGAAACTTTATATATTACGGGAAAGGATATGATCTATATATCCTAGTGCAAACCATAAACAACATCCAAAATAAATTTTCCTGTGGAATTGATGGCCTGTCCACCAAAATATTTCTAAATATACCGGATGTAGTAATCAACATTTTAACTTCACTGATTAATGAATCCTTTGAAATTGGTCTCTTTCCTAACTGTCTAAAAACAGCTATAATAATCCCACTTCATAAAGG